GGAGCGAGCGGGCAAAGAAGGCCGGACTCCGGGCCTGGAGATTGGGCCCGGCGTGTGGACACCCAGCCAGGCCACTTTGGAGATAGAGCCCCTCCGGGTGTAGCCTACAGGGCCCCATTTGCATCCTTTGTCACAGAATTCCTGTGAGCTGGCTGGCCAGGGGACCCCTGCTTTGGACAGGGAGTCCAAGACCCCAAGGCAGAATGATCTTCCCAGATCTCACGACTGATCAGTGGCTACGGTGGAGCTCGGAGGGCGCTGGGAGGGCACCCACAGGCCCTCCCAGGCTTCACACCCTGTCGTTGACGACAGCAGCCCATCCTCCCCAGGACGGTCCTCGAGTCCCACCCCCTCATGGTGCAGAAGGGGACACTGAGGCCCGGAACAGTGCAGGACTGTGCCTTCTCCTCACTGACTTTAGTCACAGAGGCTGTGACCGTTCACAAAGCCCAAACATTTCTGCTGGCAGCCCTGCCTGCTGCCTAAAACCCCACCATCAGATGCACCATCTTTGTGCAAAGCGTGCGTCCTGAGGCCCACGTGCTGAGAAGGGCAGAGAGACGAGAATTACAGGCGTGGGTGTCCTCAGTCTTCCAGAGCAGCCGGGAAGGAAGGAGCCCAGGGATCAGTGAGGGCGGGGGCCCAGCAGGGCTGAGGCACTTTCCTGGGTCCCGCAGAGGGTTGGCTCAGTCAGGCAGTCATCCCAAACCCTGCTTCCCTAATTCTAGTCGCCCCCCCTTTTGCGCCTGTCCCCAGCCCCGTCCTGGGAGGAGGCAGGCCCGGAGTGCCAGGCCCAGCCGCTCTAACTGGGACAGCGTGTGGGGGCTGGGAACATCTACCCCCCAACCCAGGCCGCCCTTTGCGAGGGTGCTGCAGGCCTCAGCGGATTAATGGTGCGGAGGCCGCTCATTTCCTCTGGCTGGGAGATAGGCCGCACCACACAGCCCCCATTGTTGGCCACCCTTATCTCAGGAAGTTCCGCCTGCCCCATCCGGAGGAGGCAGCTGGTCCCCCAGGCCCCGGCCTCACTTTTCTTTGCCTTTGGAGGCTGCACAGTTTGGCAGGCCTGGGACCACGAAGGCTTTGATCCATGTCTCCGACCCATGGGAAGCCTGCACCTTACCTGAGGGCCAGGGGACACCATGGAGGGAGGGGCATGGCAGGGCCTGGGGCTCAGCTGGGCTTCAGAAGGGGGTCTGAGAGAGGTCAAGGATGAACTGGAAGGGGCGAGGCTTGAGAGAGGGAGGGTGGAGAAAGTGGAGGGGGAGGCCCAGCTGCACACGGAGCCATTGGCTTGGCAGGGCGGGGCGCCCAGTCCTGGGCTTTGCAGCTCCCTTAGAGGGTGCACACGGCCTCTGCCCACGCGGCCCTCGGGCTGAGCGCCCTCCTCGAGGTGCTGACGCCCACGCCGAGATGCACGGAGCAGTGTGTAACTCCTCCGGGAAGCCTGGGGTTCCCCCTCAGGCTCAGTACCCCCGAGGCCCCATGCTTCGCCCACGCTCCCATCAGAGCCCTGAGCACCGGGTGTGGATGCAGGCCCGTTAGAATGGACATGCTTTGATGGTGGAGACCCCCGTGTCCCCAGGACTTGCCCCCCACTTCAGCCCACCAAAGTGTGGGACCCACTGGAGCTTGCCACAGCCCAGCCCCTTCCCCAGCCCACAGGCGCTCAGGTCCCCTCCCCACAGACCTGTGTCACCCATCAGCCCACCTGCCCTCCCACCACCACACTTTTGGCCAAGTATGTCCTCCACCTGGATGGCCTTTCCCTGTCTCCCCCGTGAAGTCCCAGACACCCGTTCAGACGGCTCAGGCGCCACCCGTCTGAAGCCCCCCTGAGCCCACGGCCCATGCCTGGACCTCAGCAACGCCTGTCTCCCTTTTTGCCCAGAACAGCTCTGTAAATTGGTTGATTAAAAGATTCCACAGCTTTTAAAAAGCTTAAAACAAGTAGATTCATCCATCTTAACCACTCAACTGGTAGTTCATGAGAAGTCTAGAACACTTTCATTCATTTTACTAAAGGCTTTCAATACTTTAACCCAAAGAAGTGATTTAAGGGAAGTAATTTAGGCAGTGTGAGAAAGTGGTAAAATGATGGTATTTGGGGTCAACCCCTTTGGGAGGACTCTTTATATCCTCAGTCATGGAAGAAGCAGTACCCACCCCCACCTCTGCCCTCCCCTCCCACCTCTAAGCAGGAGGTGAGAGAGAAGGCAGGGGCAGGGAGGGTTGGCTGAAGGCAGCGTGATACCCTGGTGCCCAGCCTTGAGCACAGCCTTCTGGAGCTGACTTGATAGGGGTAGTGCAGTACCAGCCTGCTCCAGGCCCTGGCTGCCTGAAGGTCAGGCTTCATGGCTCTATTTTCATTTTAGGTGGGAGGAAGTGGTAGCTACATGTACCCAAAGGCATTATTTGAAAGTCATGAGGTCAGTGAGGTGGCCACTGGCATAGTCCAGGGGAGAGATGGTATGGCCTGATCTGGGCAGTGGTCAGAGGG